GTGTTTCGAAAGGAATTACATAATTTATTTATTTTTACGATTTTTTTCCTTAGACACTATTCGTAAATACATCAAGCCGTCCATATATGGAAGCCTGGGATTTGCAGGTTTTTTCTTGTTCATGGCTCAATAATTTTAGCGCTGTTGCTAAAGTTTCACCTGTCAGGATGCCTTGCACTCACTGACTGCAGCTTAGCGTGAGGTTAGGAAGCTTTTTGGTTGTCAAACTGCTCTAAAAAGGAGCGTAATTTATGCTAAGCATTTCAAACTTCTGGACGTGGGATCGGCTTTTGAGAAACCGGCTACTACTATCATGAATTAAAACAGCAAGCTTTCATAAGGGGCGTTCGATCAGAGCCCGAGAAGGTCCACAAGGAAGGCTGCTGTCGGCTTAGTATAAACTAAAAGCTCATTCAACCGATACTTCGGAGCGTACGAAAGCTCCACAGAAACCGACTTCAGGTTCCCCAAATACCTTAAGCGGAAGATTATGATTTTTGTGTTGAAATGTCGGAATCACTTATCAGATCTTAGATTCCATCTTATATCCCCGTGTCTGAGCAAGCCAAAACAACCCTCGAATTGGGAGAAAATGGAAGACAGCAAAAATTCCGAAACCGAAATATTTCAAATCCTTCTTAATTGACCAAATCTGCCAAACTAACTTAATAGATACTTCAAAACTGACGTTACTGTGTGTCATTGGGTTGACCGAACATTTTCTTTCGATGTTTCTGTTAACCCAACCAGACTAGGAAGGACAAAATTACCCAGTAGCATCTGGTATCTCAACCAGACATAGGGGAAAAAATACCCGAAGATGCTGCAGGAGTTTGCTGTTCCACAATTTCAGGTAGAAGTAATCTTTCTACTGTTTATTTATCGACAAGATCGAGTCCCTTCTCGCTCCTCCTGGTTAGTGAGTGATTTCATGAACATCAAGTTTCATGACAGACGGATCCGTCGAAGAGGTCCCTCTAGAGGGACCTATACTCCCCTAGTTTTCCCACCCTAGGGTATTTTGGGGTGTGTTTTTAATCTAAATTCTCAGTTTTGCCTAATTGTATGTATTCAAATACGAAGTATTCTACTTTGGGATTGTGTAACAGTAAGATAGGTCTTGAGAAGAGGACAGTACATTTATTCGCCTGAAGTTCCGAGATCCGTCGCGGATTCGTCATCAGAGACATAGTCAGATAGCAGTAGCAGATAAGGATCTTCTAAATTACTTCCTGGGACTCGCACGTTCGCTTGTATGTATTGGCAAGATAAACTTCGAGATTCCATACCGCACTTGGAATTGATGCCAATATTGACTAGTTTTGTCATTATTAACGTGCAGTGGGCATACAAGGCACATCACTCCTCAGAAAATGATTCATGCTGAATCGGATTATTTAGTTAGTCACATTCGGGCCATTATAAGTATTTACTCCACACAGGGTTGTAAGTAAAGGTATTCGTTTGCATTGACCGCGGAGGCGGTGGCCGGCTGACTAAAGTGTACTGTTCCCCTCATTTGTTTCAAAACTCCGACAATTCAACTGTTC